TTAAACTGTGTTAGAATGACCAGCAGAGCTTTATTTTACTGCAGAGGAGGATTATTTTATTTTTACTCAAACAACTAATTCTGCTGTGGAGCCGCAACAAGACAGTAAAAGAGCCACATGTTGCCGACCCCTGATTTGGGGCTATAAAACTACATCAATGACCACAGAAAAGTGCCTCTAACAAATACATTTTTTCCATCTTTAACTGCATCCTGGGGTTTTAATGAACAAGTTATTTAAAACACAGCAATCACAATAGCCCTCTGAAGTTGTATCAACACATCAATGTAGTCTGCATCACACCCATATTAGGAACTCCAGGTCTATGCTGTTTTTTTCCATGATCGAAATGAATGCAGTTATCAAAAATCGCAGCTGTGTACACAAACGCTCCGGAGATCACACGTCTTGCTTTACAGACATTCTTCCAAGGAATGTCATCGGAGATCGTTAAGAAGCCGAAAAAAATGACTACTGCCACATGCATGCCCACTCTGCTGCACACTGAATCTACATCAGAAAACAGGCAACCTTATCAAAATACCTGACACAAACAAACAGGCTTTGCCAGATATGCTAGTTAAGTTGCTTTGGCAGTAAAAGTCTCAGTTTGAGTAGTGTTGGTATATAACAGTGCTGAAGTTTAATAACAATCACTTTTATGTGATGGCATTTTAATGCACAGCAGCGTTAGCATGCTTGTAGAATGTATTTGGCACTATTCATTTAAGTAATAGAACTCGAGAGGGAGTGCGCTATCGTGAAATAACATCACGGCTGTGATTTGGTCGCCGTAGATCATCATAGCCGTGATGTTATTTGTGATAACACACGACCTCGAGTGTTCCATTGCTGTGATACAACAGTTAAATAAATATAGTAAGAAATTAATAAACTGGGCCGTGAACGCAGCATTTAATATGTTTTAATGTTCGCAGTTCTTTCCACCAAATTATAGTTCCTTAACAAGCAGCTTGTTGAACTCCGCTCACTCGCTGCTCAGTCTGCTGTAAGCCTCGCCTTTTGAAGCACGAACTGAGCCATAAAACTGCCGCAATATCGAGTGCAGCTCAGTTTTTCAGTTTTTGCCAGATCAGTAATAATGTTGTTTTGTTCCAGTCAGTCTGTAAAGCATCTTACAGCCCATTTAGTTTGGCGAATGGTGTTGGGTTCATTTCTGGCTGATTCCAGGTTGCTTAGCTGGTCTTCTGTCACAGCTGCCGACTGAAAAGCTGCTCAGTGGTGATGACAGTTTGGGAATTTAGTGTCGTCTCATCTTCAGAGTCTGACCAGATCGGCTGTCGGTCAAATGTGATCTTAAAAGTATCCATTTTCTGTTTGTGGCAAAGTAAGAAGTAAAAACCTTCAAATGGCTTGAGTGGCTCCTACAGCTGTCAAAGTCGTTGCTTAGCAACAGTGTCTTAGTGGAGTGATAGTGTTTGTGGAAAAACTGATGTTATGGCGAAATAACAGCACGGTTAGAACACTTCTCAACCAATCAGCTCGCGTGGCCGGAACTAACTGCTGTATAAACCTAAACAACCTCCTATTCATACTGCTAAAGGGCCTCGTAATTCAGAGGATCCCGTGACACTCGGGTGAAAAATGTACACAAGACAAAACGTCAAAAAGAATTTCTAAAATGCCATTCACTTTTGTCATAGAGAAAACCAGCTTAGCTTAGTGCTCCTAATACGGGAATGACCCCAACTACAGAACAACTCACAACTTCAGGAGGCCCATATGTAGCACTATAATGCACAACATGACACTCTGTCCACATTGTGGACCCCCATGATGCACATTTTGGCCTCCTGAGTCACCATGTTTCTAAAAACAAATAGAAGTATTATTTTTAGCATTACTAGAGCTTAAAATACTCAAGGAAATCCCTTTAAGGATTTTACTACACAGCAGCAAACACAACCTGTGGCTTTAACCTACCCCTCGGAAAACTAAAGAAGAGAAGTTGCCTGGTCCTGCAAAGCTGTTTCTAATCAGAAGAATCATGCCAGAATAAAACTGCATTAAAAATAACTAAGAAAAATCAGAAAAGCCAGTAAATCTCGACACTGATTTACAAAGCTGGATATAAATTTACATTAATAGTCAAGCCTGGCCATCACTTAAAGGGGGTCCCACAGATTTTTGAAAAAACATCTGCATAATTAAACAGGTAAGATGTAAACAAAGTCATTCAGAGTGGTCTGGTGTGAACTGCTCTGTTCTACAGAAACTTATCGAGTCTGAATTGTTCACAGTGGTAGTGATAGGAACCAGACATCTGAAGAGTCTCTAAAAGCTCTCTCACAAAGTTATTATATGAACTGCATTTATGAATGCAGTGTCGGATGGCTGAGACATTGTTTTATGATAGTTTTGGCCTAAAACATTTTTTAAAGGTATTCATGGTGGAGTGATACATGCAGGGTGTTGCAAGGCAACATAGTCCCCAAAAGAAAAGAATGTTTTTTAGATTTATCACTATTTTCCATCATCAACATTACACAGAAAACCTCAGAAGACGTGTAGAATCACTGGTGGTTTTGGATAGTAAATAAAATGGCTATATTTGTGTTGCAGACACTGCGACCTCTGGTTCCTATCACCACCACTGTAATGCTGCCTTCAAGTCGTGTCAGAAATATCATATTTACGAGATGGATGCACGTGAACGGCACCACAAGGTTGTATTTACTAGTGGAAACTTTTTCAGTGATCCCCGAGTTTCCAAGTTGAGGGTGTGTCAACAAAAAACCAATGATAGCTGCTGATAAACTGGCAGTATTTCAGTTACATATCAGCCATAATATTAACACTACAGACTTAAACTATCCACACATGGAAACACAGATATAATATATACACAGACTCTCTTTAATAACATTATTTCCACTTATTTTCAACCAAAACCACTTGAACACAAATAAATCGCACTTACAACCTCCGAAACCGTAAGAACTTCCGAGGAGGACTTGAAGGCAGCATAAAGAAACCCGAGTCTCTACAATGGACCTTTTTCACTCTGACTGACTTCTGACCTTCTCAACCACTGATTCATGCAGAAGTTTTGAAAAATCAGCCCCTTTAAGTTCTCCAACAGGTTTTAAAAAGGCAGTTAGGGTGTCCTCTACCTTGCGTTTACATAACCTTTATCATCTGTTTAAAAGGTGTATTTGTATTCGACCTAACGATTAAGAACCATCCTAAATTTGGGGACAAAGGTGAGATCATTTAAGACAGTGTTGAAAAACTGCACAAGATGATGTAATAACAATTAGGGGTAGGTGATATAGCAAAATGTAATATCAATACTTCAGGAAGCTTTTTACGATATTTATTTTTTCTGACAAAGTTAAAACAGAAATGCAGTGCCACATTTTAAAAATGCTACCAAAAACGAAAACTTATTATTCATCACACACACCAATTCCAAATAAACACAACTAATTATGCACTCTAATAAATCCTGCAGTTGGGAAGTGCTTTTTAAGTACTGACAATATACACAACATGCTCAGAAGAGCATACTGTGAAACACTGATGTGATTTATCATGGCAACGATAAGTACTGTCATATAATATTCATATAATATTGGCAATCGCTCAGCCTGGCAAATGTAGAAACACTTCTATCTGGCCTCCCTATCAAAGCCCTCGATAGGTTACAGTATGTACAGAATGCCGCTGCTAGGACCCTCACCTATTCTAAGAAGACTGATCATATCGCTCTGAGCCTTGAGTCTCCACTGGTTACCTATGACACACCATTTTCAGTACAAGGTTCTTATTACATATAGCTACGTTCATATTCTCATTGCTCAAATCCGATCTCTCTGACACGATGGTTTACACTCGTTTAGGTAAGTAATTCAAATCTGTCATTAATGTGAACGAACCAGCGTCCCGAAATGACCCGCATGGCACATCCTACTCAGTGACGTCACGTGAATGAATCACGTGCATCATCAGCACAAACTAACGAGCAGAACGAGCTTCGCTGAGAAGATAATTAACTCTGATCAGCTCTCAGCTTCATTATTAGAGCGAGACGAAGGCGGAAAAGGTGAGATGTGTTTCTTTTCCACCGTTGACAGGCTTTGACTTCTGTTTGGCACTGTTGCCATGGTAACGTTGAATGATGGCACACGTGCGCAGTGGGGAAAAAAGCACATGAATTCCGATCTGAACGTTCAACATTAAGGTCGCACGGCCACGAATCCGATACGTATCCACAATACGACCACATATGAAAGTGACTCAGGTCGGATTCGAAAAGATCAGATTTGTGGCCATACAGCCCTGAAAACATCAGATCTGAGTCACATTAGGGCAAAAAAATCGGATTTGTGCGGCTTCAGCCTGGTAATGTGAACGCAGCCTATAACGCTCGGCACAGCCTGGCTCCTCACCAGAGGAGCTTCTTTGTCTATACGTCCCACCCCAATCCTTAAGATTCCATGATTTAGGCTTTCTTAATGTTCCAAGGCTTAACTGGACCTCTATGGTGGTCGTTCATTTAGTGTAGTAGCTCCCTAATTATGGAATACCCTCCCCAAGGCTACTTACACATACTTGTTTACACTATGCCATCAATGTTTATGTACTTAAATGTTCTAAATGTAATGTCCTTTTGTTATTAATACTTTATGTTCAACCTTTTCACGTTCTTTGAATGTAAAGCGTCCTAGAGCATGGGAAAGGCACTATATAAACAGAAGTGATTATGATTATATAGCCCAGCTCCAATAACAATACAGGTGCGCTCACCAAAACCCGTTCACATTTTACAGTGCGCGTTCACGTCTCGTCCTGGCCTTTGACCATTAGCGCTAAACAGCAGACATCAGCATCAAGGCTTACTGCCGAGAATCAATCTAATACACATTTCAGGTTATAAACAAAACCGCAAGTCAACGCAGATTCCCGAACCGCCGTTTGACGCATCGTCTGTGTAACGGAATCAGCGCTAGCACGTTAGCACAGCGATATCAACACACCTCACGTTTACGTTCACCGAAGGCCAAATGTTGTTACTGCCCAGCGTCCAAAATGAACAAAAACACCGCCCATATGAGCAGCACAGCAGTTAGCCATTGACTATTAATGTAGACAGGAGAGGCTCAAACGTCAGTTAACGATAGTGCTAGCGTTAGCCACTCACACAGTAGCTTAGCTTAGCTTGGAGATGGGGAGTCGATTCCAGGAGTCGGTTCTTTGACTCCAGCACGTCTGGTAGTCAGCGCCGACTCCCGGCCAGCGAGTCGATTCTTTGACTCTGAGTTTCTTCGTTGTAATCGGCTCAAGGGACATTCAGATGGAAGTGTGTGTCGAGTTTGAGTAGCGAGTTTGTTTACAACCTTCATGATAATCCATCGCTGCTCACCAGCCACTGATAGAAACGACTGCCTCAGGATTATCGATAGGCATCACGATATTTGTTTTTTCTCCGACTTAAAAAGTTAGAAACTGTAGTGCCACATATGAAAATAATAAAATGTAATACTACTACTGCTTATACTACTACTACTAATAATAATAATAATAATAATATCAAAACAACAAATTATTATTATTATTATTATTATTTACTATTATTGCTTTGCAGACCATAAAACTAGAAAAGTACATTTCCTGGAGAAAATGCAGAGTGATAGCACAACTTAACTCCCAGGTTGGTTGTAAGAGTGTTTCCAGGCAGTTACTATGGTATTTTAGCTGCTTGCTATGGTGTCCAGGTTAGTTTCTGGGGAGCTGCTAAGTGGTTGCTATGGTATCCCAGGTGGTTGCTAACGTGTTTGCCAGCTTTAAGGTAATCCAACACTGCCCACCAGGCACTGACATGAACGTGTGCCTCTACAGTTGGGGTGGATGATATAGGAAGAATTTTAAATCACGATACTTCAAAGCATTTTCAGGAAACTCCACATGTGTAACAATATTCAGTTTTTCTGAGATAAGTTGGAAGTGATAAAATAGGACCTGTAATTCCACATAAAAAAACTACTATAACAATAATAATAATAATAATAATAATAATAATAATAATAAGCCTCCAACTACAATGATCTTTATTCAGTCTTTTACAAACTGCACTAAATCGAATTACACAGGCCTACTTATGCTCACTCTGTAATTAAATATGTAGTCAGTCAGTGTTCTTTAAGACTGAAGATATCCATGACATGCTCAGAAAGGCATATTGTAACAATTTATTGTGACAACAATAAAATATCATCATCATCATCATCATCATCTTGCCCATCCCTACTCTACAAAGCACTGCTCTGCATGCCGACTCTGCCACGGGGAAAAAATATGATAAGGGCTGCAACAAACAAGGACTGTAAAAAAACTGTAAAACAATATTTTTCACACAATGACGTAAAATATAACTTGCAGATGAAGTTGGCATTTTTTCTGCCTGCTTCTTATTCCAATCTTCCGTTCCACCTTGAATGACGCTGCAGCTATTTAGGTAACTGCTATATCATTTAAGGTGGAAAGGAAAATTCAAGTAAGAAACTGACAAATAGGCCAAATTCAGTCTTGCAGAAAGAGGAACAAGATAACATTCAGCTGTTCTGGAATGAAAACTTTATTTTAAATCTGATTAACTCACTAACATTGGTGTATATTTTAACAGAAGCAAGGCTGCTGTAGGTTGATGAGTTTCTCAGTACATCACTCAAGAGTTTCCTGTTGAACATTGCTTCAGCAGCCTCACCACGTGAAATATGTGAAATATGTGAAATGATGTGAATTCTGATAGTAAGATGTGTTCAAAGAGTCAACTTATCTGTCAAGCTACACTCTTAAAACAGGGCTATTCACAGGTTCTTTAATACAGACAATGGTTGCATATAGAACCATAAACACACAAAGAACCATTTGCATGCTTAATGGTTCTTCGGTTCTTTGTATGGAGAAACAGGTCTTCAGACAGACAGAGAATATGTTGTATATGGTTTGGCTTTTAAAATTGGTCAATGTAGCACCAAAAAAGGTTCTGTTATTGTTACAAGCTTGACATTACATCAATAAAAGAACCTTCTTTGGTGCTCTACAGAACCGTTTGCAAAAAGGGTCTACATAGAACCATGTACAAGACACTCTCCCTCAATCTGGAGAATCATTTCAACATGCAAGTGGTTCTTTGAGTGTTCATGGTGCTAAGAACCCTTGAAGAACCATGTTTTTACATGTACCCTATATCAGTTGGTATAATCTACAAATGATCATGTCACTGTAATCTGCAGCTACTCAAAAAATAGGTAAACTATGTTGAGGGTGGTTTAATATCTGCTGTATCTCTATCAGCGACTCCGGAGCCGTGTTGGTTTCAAACGAAGCGGAGTCGAAGAGTCGACTCCCTCCACTCCAACGTCAGGAGTAGAGAGTCGGAGTCGACTCCGGAAAACTCTGACTCGTGAATCACTAGCTTAGCCCTCACCTGTCCGTGTACTGTGTGTAAACCAACGGCTGTTCTCGTCTGCGCTCGCCTTAAGAGCTCCTTCGGACCTCCGCTAAGCTCGTCCGCAGAGCCAAAACAGCGGGGGCGCTAGCGTTAGCTTAGCATTAGCTTCGCTTTAGCTTAGCATCAGCTCAGCGTTAGGTAATAGCCGGGCTAGCCAGCATTGTCAGGGCAGCTCCTGCGGAAACTGCGGTACCTAACGGTGCGTTCACCTTCGGCTACGGCATAAAAGCCGCGCTACTGTATTTATGTCCTTATGTCCCTCACCGTCGCTCGTGCCGCAGCTCCTCTCGCCCTGATCCCGCTGCAGCGCGCGCCGCTCCGCCATCTCTCTCGCTCCCCGCCCCCCGCACTGACGTCACGGAGGCTCCGATGCCACGAACGCCGCTTTATGCAGTTGAGGGGCGGAGTCGAGCTCCGCGCGGCCCTAAAGTCTGACCGCGCGGGTGATGGGTTTAATAACAGCCATAATAATAGTCATAATAACAGCTATGCGTTTTATAGCATTTACTGTTTTATATAATATAAAACAAGTCCGGAGTTTCAGAGATTAACGCTGAAATAACAACGTCCACAATAATTCAAAGACCCACAACAATCAGCTCAAGAGGAGACTCATACCGCAGTAATGTACAGGTCTAATAGCTTTAATAGACAGTAATAGTTTGTGGGGTTCTTAAAATGGTATTAAAGGCCTGATTACATTCAGATTCAAAACTTTATTGTTTATCATCACAGGACAGAAATTTGTCTTTGAAGCGCTGCATCACATACAACATCTCACACACACTCTCAGAAATAAAGGTACTAAACTGTCTCTGGGGCAGTGCCCCTCTTGTTACCAGGGTGGGACCCTCAAGGGTACATCTCAGTACATTTAGTCAGGGAACATAACTGAACCATAATCCACTGAAATGATGTTCTCTAAGCTGTACTGACTCCACACACCCCGTCTCGTCTCCAGGCTTTTATTTTACTGTTCTGTTTAAAACATTCGGTTATGAAAAGGTACAAATACAAACTTTTCACCTGGAAAAAACTTATTTAAGGTTCACAATCAGACCTTAAAACCACTGTTGTACTTTTGAGGGAACATTTACATTGTTGGTAGCCTGATGAATGAAAAATGTTCCTGCACAGAACCTTTATTTCTAACAGTGTACACAACATTCATCCACTTATGTACAACAAGCTGAGCACAATAAGATGATTAAACTTCGTTTAAAGATGCATACGCAATGGCATACTAATAAATATACTCTAAAATCAATGCTTCAAAATCAATGATATCCTTCAAGTCATGATAAGTTTTCATACACAATGTGCACATTAGTCCATGTGGATTGACTTATAGTGGTGGTATAATGGTACATTATTTACTGATTAAGACTATTTGTAGCCATTGGGAGAAACAACTTTCTAAAAACATTTGTTTTAGCCACACACTTAAAAAAGATGGTTCTTCAAGGGTTCTTTAGTAAAGAGCCATGAACACTCAAAGAACCCTTTGTTTGATCAAAGAGTTCTTTGCATTGTGAAATCGTCCTTCAAATTGATGGAGAATGTGTTGTATATGGTTGTATATTGTGGTTGTCGGAAGAAAACCTCGTATCTCCAATATGGTAACTTTACAGGAGAAGGAAAAAACACACTTTACTTTCAATGTAAGTCAATGGAACCAGACTTTCCAAGTCATTCTGGGCTGTTTCTTTTGGTCCATTCATCATGAAATTTACACACAATGTGAAGGGCAACAGGCATTTTCAGAATATGTCAAAAACTGAAACGTTTTGTTCCAACAGCAGCGATATAGAACCTTTTTGAATATGGTTCTATATAGCACCAAAAAGGGTTCTTCTATTCTAAGAAGCTTCACATCGTAGCTATAGATCAGAGGTCACTAATAGGCAGAAAGCGGTCCAAGTCCAGACCCAGATGCTGTCCTATGCGGACCTGGACCTATAACCGATAAACTATGGAGAATTATTTAATTTTGACGAGGTGGTCCTATTTTAATCGGCGTAACATTTCTAGTCATTACGGTAGCTTTAGCAGCCTGGGAAAGTCACAGACCAATCGCACGCATTGTGAATATCACACGTGACGCTACTCAGCCAATCAGATCTGTGCATTACAATGAGCACTGAGACTCGAGTGAGTGACGCACACACAGGGCAGGGACGAGGCGAGAAACAGCAGTCGGAGAAGAAAGTGAGTCAGAGGGAGATTATTTCACATGACGTGCTCTAAAAAGAGAAAACTGACATAAATATTGTTGAAATATTACTGAACTGTACTTTATTTGATTTGACATTCAATTGTTGACTGCATAAGATGTTGATATAACTACAAGCTACTTCACTGTACAGTATATGGCACTGAATCATAATGCAAGTTAGACATAAAAATGTTCTGGACCTTTGCTTGAGGAAATTTTCTTTAACTGGACCTTTTTGAATTTTAATAAAAGACCCCACTATAGAGGAACAGTTTTTGGTGCTATATAGAACCATTTTCAAAAAGGTGCTATATAGAACCATCTACAGCACAATCTCCATCAGTCTGAAGAACCCTTTCACAATGCAAAGAACCCTTCAATCATGCAAAGGGTTCTTTGAGTGTTCATGGTTCTATATAGAACCATTTTCTTTGCTAAAGAACCCTTGAAGAACCATCTTTTTTTTAGAGTGCAGAGGACATTTATAGCAACAGCCTGATGGGAGTGACTGACAGGAAGAGTAAAGGGGATGTGGGATCCTGTGTTATAGCATTAGCTTTCCTCTTGAAAGCCACTGTAAACAGTTCTGATAGAGGCGTTTGCCTTGCCTGATTAATAACTCGCTCTATCCTGCACTCACTCTATCCTGCACTCGCTCTATCCTGCACTCGCTCTTGGCAGGGAGAAAGTTATACCAGGACGTACTATTACAAATCAGTACTGATTCGACAAGGGATCTGTAAACAGATATCAGTATTCTGAGCTTTC